ACTAGAGATGTGTGTGCATACAGAATGGATGGGAAAGAGCATTATCACTGTGAGTGGAGAGCGGCCATACAGGTTAAATCTTCTTGGGTAACTGTTTATCTTTAATGCAATGCATGACAATAGAAAGAAAGAGAGGAAGCTCTGGAAAACAAAATATATTACACTCATAGCTCTTAGAGACTAAAGTGTCACAGGCCACATAGGAAATAGAACAGTGTGTTTAGAAGGCAGGAGAAAGCACTAGTCCGGAATCTTTATTTGAGTCTTCATATAAAAAGCAAGGCAGGGAAGGGAAAACATTTCAGAATTGGTTAGTCTGAATAATTTTGACCAACTCTTTTCTATAGGATCCCAGGTTGCCTTTTCCTGGCCCTGGGATGAGGAAGTCAGAGGAATATTGCCTCCTGGATGTGTGGGCCAGATGGAGGTGGTATGGTACAACTCCGTCCCTGGCTGAGCCCTTGCCATTTCTAACAATTAGCTAAATCCAGGGCAGTCTTTCCTAGACAGAAATATTTTTTGACACACCAAAATATCACAACTATGTAAGTTATACAGCATAAGTACAGTCATGGTTTAAGAGACTTGTAAATGGCCAAAATCTTGTAAAGCTATATAAAGCAGGACAACAAATTCTAGATCACTTCACTGGTTTCTGAATCTTCAGGTTCCACAGGACACAGCTTGAAAATTCCCATTGTTCTCACATGATTATGGAGCTCTGACCCCCACACAAAAGTAACAAGTAAGACAACATGATGAATGCATTGTATACATTACTCAAATATTTCTGTGAGGTGGGGAAAAATTGCGAAGTTTCTGTAAAAGTACAGGTAAACAAATACAAAAGAAATCTCCACGGTCTCTAAGCATAGACAGTGATGTGTAAGGAACACATGGCCTGCATTATTAATATCCCTCTATGTAGTAGGAGAAACCATTCTTGGGTTAATATTAGGCAGGACTATAATAGTAATATCAAGGACTATAAACTTTTGATAGTCCTTTAAACTCAAATTATTTTTTCAAAACTGAAAGCTGATAGGTTTTTGACTGCCCTACAATTGGACATATTTAAAGCACCCTTACATACTTAGCAATAGTATTCAGACCCTCACACTAAGCTACAATGCTGCATCCTGTTAGTCAGTATGCTGAAGGGACATATATCTTTCCCCCTCACTACAACACAAGAATGTTAATAATACAACTTAAAATGATAGTATTTTTAAAATACCAGTCTAAGTTATTAGAAAATTATAAAATGTTATGTTCATTTGTCAAACTTAACTGCATAAGCATCAGGTAACTGACTTGAGACTAAAGAAGCACTGCATGTATACATTCTGCAGCTATGTATATAACTTACTCAGAAGGATATTTGTTATTAATGGAGTCTTCCATCACATTTTTGATGCTTTGCTGTAGCCACAATTTCTGCTGGTCGAGTTCTCTTTCCTTCAGTTCTAGATCTTCAATTTCAGCTTTAAGAAATCTTAATCTATCTATAACTTCTTTAGTATTACAGCCAGCACCTACACCCCTTAAAAGCATGAGAATAAATACCCACAGGTTCAGACACCCATTTAATATCATTTAATTTTTATAGTAATAAAATAGACTTATACATTAATCAAGATGAGTTTACACTCTTCTGAAAACCACACATTAAAATCCTTACAAAACTTAAACATCAAAGCTCTATACATCCTTGCTTGGAAAATTTACTGACAGGGGCTGTAGAGATGACTCAGTAGTTAAGAGCACTGGCTGCTCTTTCAGAGGACCCGAGATTCAATTCCCAGCACCTACATGGCAGCTTACAACTGTCTGTAACTCCAGTTCCAAGGAATCTAGTATCCTCACACAGACATACATGCAGGCAAAATACCAATGCACATAAAAAGTAAAACAAAACAAAAAACTAAAGAAGACAAAAAAAACCCACCACCACCACCAACAAAAAAACACCTTTCAAATAACAAGAACAAAAAATTTTGATGACAAGAACCATGTTTTAGAAATGCTTAGTATGTGCTAGAGTGGCTTTTATCACTTGGAAGGCCAAGCTAGTGACCAAGGTGCCAAAATCACACCAAAGCTAAACGGTTATTTAAGTCTCCTGGTGTACCCTGAGGTGCTGGTAAAGCTAACCTGTAAACATCTGGTTTGGGATAGAATTCTAGCAAAACAAAAAACTAAGGCCGAAGGAAGTACTCTAAAAACAGAATGTATTTGTCAGAAGCACACAATCATGTCCTAGCTAATACATGAAAGAGTGGAGAGAGCAAGGAAAAGATCCAACACATAATGAACAGATAGGCAAGCCCAGGGAGCCTGTCCTGAGGAAGAGAATCTGGTGTGATTGGCCAGCTAAAACTGAGCATTTAAAGAAAGGTTTAAAGCTCGATATCTATCTAGTATTGGGTAGGGTTTGTGTGACTTACTTCCACTGGATACTGTTCTTTGATTTTTTTTCAATTAGATCAATTCCTTCTAAGACATTGGTGATATCATAAATTCTTCGCTTTTGCCTCACAGCCAAAGTATCTGCAGCCTGTTTAGGACAAAGAGCAGAGAAAGCACAGTGTATAATTTAAAGTCAGAGAGAGAGTTGACTATCAAGGTCAAAATACGAGAGTCCAATCCCAAATTTGACCCACTCAGTATCTTGAGAACATTAGCTAGATATATTTGAAGCATTTCCCAGACTTTGCAAATACCAGAGAAATTATCCCATCTAAACACTAGCAGATGCTAGAGAGAAGAAAAAAATATGGACACAACATATGGCCCCCAAAATAAAACACAGTAGTAATTTTTGTCACCTTACAGACTAAGCTGAGGAGGAACTACTAATTGTTAATCTGTCACTTCCTATTTCTCATCAAAAGACGGCCTTACTCTATGTATCTGGACCTTTTGGCAATTAAGGAATAAGAGTAGTTAGGATTATATGCACAAATTATAAATCTGTTTAATAATGATTTGCATTTTTAAAGCTTTATTGCATGGATGAATTATCCCACCTAACAGTATTAATCAACAAGAAATAAAAATCTCTAACACAGTGGTGATTCTAGCAATGATTTTTAAAAAGCATGGTGGTTTCTTTCCTAGAAGGTAAGAGTAACACAAATATTATTGAATATGATAAGATAAAAAGGTCAATTTTTGAATCTACTTTTAAAAAAGGAACTACTTGTTTTATATAGGATAAGTAATGAAAAGTTTTTGTCTGAGTTTATCAAATGTTACTGGACTGGACATTGTAAATATATTAATGGAGTTTTTGTCTGAATAATAGACTAGACATCTTAATGTAATCTTGACTGTGTATATTGTATATACTTATTCGATATAATTTTTCTTGTATTAGTGATAAGCTTTAATTTTAGACAAAAAAAGGGGAAATGTGGTGGTATTGTGTTCCCCAAAATATTGGGCCCTCCTACATCAATCATTAATCCAGAAAATGCTCTACAGATTTGCTTACAGTCCAGTCTGATGGAGGAATTTTCTCCATTGAGGTTCCCTCTTAGGTGGTAACCCTACCTTGTGCAAACTGACAAAAAACCCAACCACGATGCCCCACATCCAGGTCTCTCTAGAATGGGACTCGTGTCTCCAACAATAGACCAGGAGAACAGGATGTGCAGTGATAGGAGCAACAGGTTTTTTAGTATCCTCAACTCTGAGTTGGCATTGTCTGAATTCTACAGAATGTCTAGAATCTCCTAATCTCCAGAAGACTCTTGACTCTAGGGAATCAAAACTTAAACAGGACTGGGACTAGCCACGGTCACATAGTACTCAGCAGAATCTTTACCATCTCATTTTCCTTCACAGAATTTCTGTTCTTGAGTTTGACTTTCTTCTGATTAACAGCAGCCTACTGCAAAGTAGTCATTAAAAAAAATTATAAAATTAAGAATGTTCAGCCGGGCGGTGGTGGCGCACGCCTTTAATCCCAGCACTCGGGAGGCAGAGCCAGGCGGATCTCTGTGAGTTCGAGGCCAGCCTGGGCTACCAAGTGAGTTCCAGGAAAAGGCGCAAAGCTACACAGAGAAACCCTGTCTCGAAAAACCAAAAAAAAAAAAAAAAAAAAAAAAAGAATGTTCTTGCTTCTTTCTGAAAAGGATCTCAAGAAGTGACCCAGAGTTCTGCCAGCCATGGTTCTGTGTTTTCAGTATCTACGTACACATGCACCACATCATTCACAGCCATAGCAACAGCTTCTGGTATCTGGTGTTGCACTGTACACATAGGATCCAGACCATAAGAGCTGTCTTTTTTTTTTTTTTTTGGTTTTTCGAGACAGGGTTTCTCTGTGTAGCTTTGCGCCTTTCCTGGAACTCACCTGGTAGCCCAGGCTGGCCTCGAACTCACAGAGATCCACCTGGCTCTGCCTCCCGAGTGCTGGGATTAAAGGCGTGTGCCACCACCGCCCGGCTAAGAGCTGTCTTTTTATGACAGATTATAATTACATTTCTTCCTTTTTTCTTTTCTTCCCTCCAAACCCTCCCATGTGCCCCTCCCACTTGCCTTCAAATTCATGACCTCTTTATTCAATGTTATTGCATGTATGTATGTGTCAGTATGTATATATATTCCTAAATATAACCTGTTCAGAGCTCACCACTTGGCACTGGATAACCAATTGGTGTGCTCTTCCCTAGGGAGGACCAACTCTCCTGTTCCCAACTTTCCTCAGTTGCCTATAGTTCTTTGTGTAGGGCTGAATCCTAGTGGGCTTTTTCTTGTCCACTCTGGAATATTCACTGGTGTCCTCCTTGTTCAGCTCATGTTTGAGCATTCATGTATGTGAGACTTTATGGGTTCTGATATCACTAGGAGAGAGACAGCAGACCTTCTCGGTCATTGTGAAGGTTTCAAGGTTTCAGCTTTTAATTTTAGTGACATGGAAAGCCACCAGGCAGCTTTAAGCACAGGGATGATGTGACTTCATGTTTCAAAATGTCCTCTCTGTTTCCTATAAGGAGAATCTTGTTGAGAAGAAAACAGAAGAAAGGCGATCAATGAGAAAGGCAATGGCAACAATCCACTATAGGTAGGAATACAGATGGAGTAAACTAAGAAGGTGATGATCAGAGGGGACAGTCTGAGTAGAATCTGAAGGCTCTGCAAGCAGCAGTTCCTGGCAGAGAGGAGCCAAGGATCACTCAAGGTTTTGTTTGTTTTTTAAAGTTATATTTATTGGGGGGTGGGGCATATGTGCCACAGCTCATGCATGTAAGACGGGACAGTTTTGTAGAGCTGGTGTTCTTCTTCCACAGGCCTGGCAACAAATGCCGTTGTATACTGAGTCATCTCCTTGGCTCAAAAGAGTTTTTGACTTGAACAGCTGCAAGTGAGGAACACCACTGTAGGAACAGGTTTGAAGCAATGGAAGTCAGGAACTTAACCTTGGAGACTGTGACATCCCAAAGGAGATCACTGGGCATGAGAATGTAGGCCATGAAGGAGACGCCAAAGCTATAAGGGAGGCACGGGCTAGACATCAATTTTATTGTCCTCAGGAGACAGACATCTCAGGAACAGTGGAATCCACAAGATCCACCTAGCAAGGGAACAAAGAGTATGAGAAATGAAGAACAACCTGACACTGACACATGGGGCACGAACGCAGGAGTTGTGGAATCCAAAGGAAAGGAGTGTAAGGAGAGGCCGAACTTGCCATGCACTGCAGTGAGGGAAGGTTCAGAGATCCCCAGGCACCTGGGAAAGAACTAGTTTGGCAGGGGAGGAGGGATCTCCTGGAGGAACAGAAGGAAAGCTAGCATAGACAGCATATTTGAAGTGGCATGCTGTAAGGAGGAACAGAGACAGAAGACCATATCTGTAGGAGCTATGGGGTTTTCAAGAAGGTTTTTCTTCTTCCTCTTTCTCTTTTTTCTTTTGAAGATAAGTGCTATTTCAACCTGTAAGTATGCTGATAGGAATGATCTGGCAAACATAGATAATTAACAACACAGAAGAGCATTAAAGAGACCATTAGGACCAACGGGAAGGCATATTAGGAACTGAAGTCCAGCACTGGGCTGAGTGCAAATACTGTTACATTAGTAGACAAAACAGCAGACGTTTCCTTCCTAGTATGTTTGATTTTCTCATCAGCTTTGGGGTAGATGGATGGAAGGAGAAAAGAAAAATACTGACATAAAATAGTGGACAGTACAGAAGGTGTTGTGCAAATCCTAAGTGGTCTTATTAATAAGAAACCCGGAGCCAGATACTGGAGTAAATACTGAAAGATCAGACAGACAAAGGAACAAGCCACTAGAGAAACTTCTCATCACCACCAAATCCTCAGGCTGAATGGAAGGCAAGATTCTATCTCCAGGAATCCTGACTGAAAGCCTGAGTCCTCAGCCGAAAAGGCTGTCTCCTCACACCTTATATACCTTTCTCTGCCCAGCCATTTCACTTCCTTCCTAGTGCTGGGATTAATGGCTTGTGTGCTTCCCAAATATTGGTAGCAAAGGCATGAGATCTCACGTGCTAGGGTTAAAGGCATGTGACTTCCAAGTACTGAGGTTAAAGGTGTGTGCTACCACTGCCTGGCTCTGCTTCTCTCCTAGACTGGATCAATCTCATGTAGCCCAGTGTGGCTTTGAACTCACAGAGATCCAGACAGATCTCTGCCTCCAAAGTGCTAGGATTAAAGGTGTGTGTCACCTTTAACCTGGCCTCTTTGTTTAATCTAGTGGCTGGCTCTGTCCTCTGATCTTCAGGCAAATTTTATTAATAAGTAAAACAAAATATCACCACATGAGGAGTGTAGATAGTACCTTCAAAGTTAGTGGTCATGAATTTGAAGGGAGACTCAATATATTAGTTATTTTTCTGATGCTGAGATAAAACACCATGACCAAAGCAACTTAAGGAAGAATTTATTTTGTCTTATGGTTCCAAAAGAATAAGATCTATCATGGCAGGAAGACAGGGCAGCAGACAGGCACACTGACCAGCACAGAAAGCTGAGGGCTCACATCTTGAAACACAAGCACAAAGTAGAGAGCACAAACTGGAAGTGGCAGAGGCCTTGTACTCTCATATGCAGTAATGTACTTCCTCCAGCAAGGCCACTCCCCCTAAACTTCCCAAACAGTCCCACCAACTTGGGCCCACATGTTCAACTCTTTGAGCCTGTGGAGGGCATTCTCATTCAAACAACTGCATGCAACAGCACTGCATTTTTCTCCAGTCCTTGAACTGCTCAGGTATACCAAGGAGGTGGGCAGGGATTAGAATCACCACCCTCATCTCAAGCTTTCTACTGTGACTGGTAGATAGGGCATCGAGTTTATTTTTAAAATATTGCAATTCTATAGTCTGAAAGCCAATAAAGGGAACTATAAAGAAATCCATAAAAGTTGCATCTAACTATCATACAACCAGTTTATAGCAAAAATAAGCAAACCTTAAGAAAATCCCCTGGGGGAAAAAAAAACTATCTCCCAGATAAGTATTAGATGTTTTCCACTCACAAATGGGAGATAAACAATGTCTACAGGCAGAACAGTATTCAAGCTTCGGATGCTGTTACCAGGTGGGCAAGCCAAATGAATTATAAACTAGGACCAAGGAGGCAGGATCTAAGTGCCACAATGTTGCATTTAAAGAGGTAACATAAAAACAAGTTCAGATAACTTCCTGTACTTCAAAGCAAGTTCTTTATTCTCTTCCAGGTCATAACAGTTAACATATAAGCATTCAGTATTCTAGTGACTGAGATTTAGAAATTTACATTAAGACAGGAGTCAGAATCCAAAGTCAAAGCAGTGTTAACAGCAACGCTAGCTATATAAAACCAAAGAAATTCCACCTAAAATCAAGGTTGAGGGGGCTGAAGTAATGGCTCAGCTGTTAAAGAGTGCTGGAGGACCTGAGTTCAATACCCAGCACCCATGTGGAGCAATTCACAATGCCCTCTTCTGATCTCCAAAGGCACCTGTATAAACAGGGCAGACACCCACAAAACCACGCAGACATATAAAGAAGAAAGGAAAAATATATCTCAAAGTATTAAGGGGGAAGGTTCTCAAGTGATGCACCAAGGTAGTCTAGAAAATATTTTAATGAGAGTAAAAAAAACTTCAGATGTGACACATGGTACAATGGTTTGAAAGAAAATGGCCCCTAAAGAGAGTGGCACTATTAGGAGTTTTGGTCTTGTGGAGTAGGTGAGGTCTTGTTGGAGGAAATGTGTCATTGTAGAGGCAGGCTTTGAGGTCTCATACATGCTCAAGATACTGCCTAGAGTCTTATACCACTTCCTGCAAGATGTAGAACTCTCAGCTACCTCTCCCGCACCATGTCTGCCTGCATGCTGCCATGTCCCACCATGATGATAATGGACTGAACCTCTCTAAACTGTAAGCCACCCAAGTACATGTTTTTCTTTATAAGAGCTGTCATTGTCATGATGTCTCACAGCAATAGAAACCCTAAGACACATGGCATTTCATGCTAACCCATTTCCTTAAGTTAATTATTACCTAATTTCAAACACAACTCATTATAATTAACATGTAAAATGCTTGATTTTAACCTATAGCAATAGGGTAACTGAGGACTTTATAGATGTTATCTAATGTAAAGCTCACAATAACTCTGCAAAGTAAGTGTTCTCATTTCATAGAGAAGCCCAGAAAGCTAAAGAATAATAAATAAGGACAGCATTTGACATTAGTCCTATATTCATGAAACAAAACTGTGACAAAACATTTTATACAACTTAAAAGACTTTAAATAATTTGGGCATATGAATTCAATATATGCTTGTACTGAACAGGGAATTCAAGTAAAACTCAAGTATAGGTTCCATAAAGGGTAGATAAAAATGGCAGAAAAGCAGAAATTTAAAATTCCACTTATTTGCTTACTGAAAATAAAAAACTCATAGATATTTAAGTCTATGCCTATGAAGATAGTATCTCATAAAATGGTGCTTAAAACATCAAACTGTAGGGGCTGAAGAAATGGCTTAGCTGTTAAGAAGAGCACTTGTTGCTCTTTCAGAGGATCTGGGTTTGGTTCCTAGCACCCACATGGAGGCTCATAAGCATGAGTAACTCCAGTTCCAAGGGATCTAAGCACCTCTTTGGACTTCCACTGGCTCTGCATGCAGGTGGTGCACATAGATACACATGAGGCAAAGCAGCAGTGCAAATAAATAAATCTTAAAAAAAAGAGTAACTTGTGCAAATCCCTACTTAAATCCCTAGCACAAAAAGGAGAGGGTCATTTGCCCTAGAGATGTTAAAATGCTATAAACCTGTGAAGAAGTGGGAGTACTTAAGGGCAACAAAGAAAATTCCTGGGAGAGGCTGATCTGTTTTCAGTGGGTCTGGAGGGGCCATAAATCAACAAGGAAATGAAATACCAAAGAACTGCTGACTCTAAGAGCAGAAGGGCCCCTCCAGAAGCAGCCCCGTTTACTTATACAGTAAGTGTTTCAATCCCACATCAATGCTCTGCCCCAAAGAAACTGCACCTAAACATACCCTCTGTGATTGGTTACTCTGACTGCTACTGTACTTATGTATTTTGAAATAGATAAGCTTTGAATATTTTTCTGATGCTATTTTTAATAAACTCTGTACAAGTTTTTTTTTTTTAAAAGTTTATTTCTATTTTTCTTACACAGGTCACCAAAGAATAATCAAAAGAGAAGGAAAAAAGGTATTTGATAGTGTCTAACTAGGAAAATCAGTGATCTTCTGAAATCTATAAACTGAAATCTGTAGAGATTGTGTGCCTGTATCCACCAGCTGTATAGTTTGAAAATCCTTTTCTAGAACTATTATTTTGGCTGGCATACAGAGATTTCACTGTGACATCTGTCATTATAGTTAATCTGTTCCTAACTGACACCCCCGCCCCACTGCCCTCCCTCATCTCTTGCCCTCTTGCTGTGTTCTCACATGGTCTTTTTATGTGTGAACTGCCCTGCTGGTTCTGTGTCTCCAAATTTGCTGTCACAAGGAAACTGATGAGATTTCCTTAGGTCACATCCTGATAGTGTCATTTAACTCAGCCTTCCTTTAAGAAACTACCTTCAAATGTAGTTTCATATTAATGAATGGGGTGGAGGGCACAAGTTTTGACAATTCAGCCTATATCCCCATTAATAAACTTGTGTTCTATATTACCATATCTTCTGGCAGACATTTTCCTGCCTTGTTTCTAAGAATCTGAGTACTCTTAAATACTTCAAATTAAAATCATATAATAGGGTCTGGAGAGAGAGATCAGCAGTTAATAAGAGTACTGGCTGCTCTTCCAGAGGACCTAGGTTCAATCCCCAGGACCCACATGATGGCTTTCAACCATCTGTAACTCCAATTCCAGGGGTCTGATGCCCTCTTCTGGCCTCTGCAGGCTCCAGGCACACATGTAGTGCAGACATACATGCAGGCAAAACACTCATACACATAAAATAAAAATAATAATAAAAAAAAAAGAATTGTATAGCATGTTTGTTTACTCATGTAAAATCTTCAAGGATCATCTCCGCAGTACAGAATTTCTTTCTAAAACAGAAAAGCTCCTCACTGTGCCATCTGAGTTGCCCATCTTTTGACTATTTGAGTAATACCAACATGAACATGGATTTTACAAATACCTCCTATTCCAGACCCCACTTTCAATTCTGCAGGCATATACTCAGGAGTGGTGCTGTCCTAAAGCAAGTACTGAAGCCTTCCTTGCTCCATACATACCTCCCTATGTCAACTACCTCAGACTCTTGTTACCTACTGAAGCTTGAGGTTGAATACGTCCCATCTGGGTGTGTGTGTATCAGTTAGGTCATTTGTTATATTTGTGTCTGGATCTGGGAGAGAAGAGGCACCAATACTTAGGTGTCATTCAGGTAATTGTAACTTAAGTAACCATAATGCATAACATACACAATCCAGATTATGTTTGCAAAGTTCAAGATGGCAGCAAAATGGCAAATAAAATATTGTAAAGTATACTGAACAGGAATTTTCAGAATACACACCCACACTCTTTAACAGTTCAGTTATTAAGCTACAGGAAAATAAAACACTATTTCTACAGAATCTGCCATCAGTGCCCTCCTTTTTAGACAGATGCCCATTGCCTACCATGTTAGTTTTATTCCAGAGAAGTAAAATTTTGTATTTTTCTTTACAAAAAGGAATCCATGATACAGAGAGACACGTGAAAACTTAAATTTTTAAGGACTACTAAAACGACAGTACAGCACAGAAAATAAGTCTAATGACCAATCTCACTTGATAGACCTAACCCAGAACTTTCCTAAATTTAGTGTATCAGGCTCACAATAGGGTGAGAATATTATGCTTACCATCTACACAGTCCTGATTATTTTACAGCCACTCAGGATATTTCATGGGAAAGTTAATATATTTTTATATTTGTGATTTTCACAAAATTGGATTCTTTTATTAAAAAAATTAGGTGCAAAACCTGTATCAGTAGCTTATACAGAAAAATGTTCTTTCTTCAGAGTTAGAATAAAAAAATAATGAATGAGTTTTATAATTTTCAGATAGAAATGTATTATTATCAGAATAAGTCGATCTTTAACATGTATTATCAGGATATCTTAATGATATTTCATAATGATGTACTATGAGAAACATCACTAGGAATGCCTCACTGTAAGTTGTTTTATATATAAGATTTTATTTTTTATTAAGAAATTTTTTATTCATTTTACATAACCAATCACAGATTCCCCTCTTCCCGCCCCTATATATAAGATTTTATGTGTATTTATATATGTGTGTATTTATGTGTATGTATAAATAAAATGTTTTTCTACTTAGGAAATAGAATACTCCACTGGTCTCTATAAGTCATCAACCCTTATTAGTACAGAAATCTATGAACTTTTCTTTAGGACAGATCCAAGATAACCGAAATAAGACTCTTGAATATCAAACTTGTGCTATTGGATGCCTGAGCCTGCTGCCACACAGGGGAAAGAAGCCACATGACAAAGTCTGGAAGGGCAGACAGAGTTCATCTTATTCTGAGTTTTGAGCATGTTTCAGGACCGAATCATCAAACCCCAGCTTTACTCGGAAAGCCCCGGAATTCCCTGATTTTTTTTTCATTATTGACAATCACTGGCTACAGCTGAATTTAATTCTGAACAGCAGATTTCAATGGATGTTTTGTAACATCAGGGGTTTCTCTGCTGACCTCATTACTCCTGGTGAAATTGGAAAGCATACCGTTTGAATTCATTACAATTTGAATACTGTAGAAGCCCATTAAAGTACTTTTAAGGAGGTAAAGAGGTTGAGAGAGGGGAAGGGGGAGGGAGAAGGAAGGCAGAGAGAGACTATATGAATGAGAATACAAGTAATTTCAAAAGTGGCAAAAAAAAAAAAAAAAAAAAAGGTCCCAGGAATAACATTTCCAAGTAAAAACGGACACCCATAGGCATCTATACTCAGGAAGAGGGGGAGGGGGCAATCCCAATGCCAACAAACCAGTGCCTCCCACTGGGCCACCCAATGCCAACAAGCCAGTGCCTCCCACTGGGCCACCAAGAGGAGGACACTCAACATGAAAGTTCTGGAAGGCAGGCTTCTCCAGCTCAGACACTATTCCCATTGCCTTGGGCACAGAAGTGAGGATGGTAATGGCTTCAAGCCAGGAAGGTGACATGGTACTTAGTCCCTGGATGCTGCGAGTTTTCCCAGGACAGCCAGGTAAAGGAGTCACAGAGGCGATCCGCTGTGATTGTAGACTCCTTAGTAATTTTGTTTGTTTTTTAAAGTATTGGCTCTTTCTTAACTTCAGTGTACTGGCTGGATTTTTAATTCACGTGATCACATGCTTTTTCCCCCTCTGTGCTGTGGATACAAATCCTGCCAGGAACGGTTAAATCACTGTATGACTGAACAGCTTCTGATGAACGTTGTTTGAAAAAACCTGAACCGAAGAAAACATTCTTATAAAACCAGATTATGTTTACTAAGCAATTCCACCGCTTAGTCTGGAAGTCACAAAACTCTCCGTGCGACTGCAAATCTCCCATCTAGAAACCCTAAGATTCCAAATTAAGTCAACAAATTGAATCTCACTTCCTGTTGATGAAGAGTTTCCCCTTCTAAAAACTATGATTTTAGCGGGAAAGTGTGGTAAGTTTTCTCGTTTTCCTTTCCTTCAGAAGAACTGGCACTAAGTTCTTCAAACAGTAATAAAGTCCTACAAAGCGGTCCATTAAGGCATCAGTTTCCAACACCAAACCAACCCTGAGTGAGTCCAGAGCAAAGCGCGAATTTCTGGGTGCTTGGGCCTCGGCCGCCGCGCTCAGGGTGCTCCTTTGTGGCCAGGGCCGCGCGGCTACCCGCCGGTGGGGGCCCCGCGTCCAGCCCCCCTCTTCCACGCTTCCCGGTGGGCCCCGACGCCTGTCCGGCGTCCGGGTCGGCGTGTGGGCGGCGGACCCAGCTCCCTCAGGCCTCGCCCCCGCATCTCCGCCCCCGCTCACCGCTTTGAGATCCAGGACGCCGTCCTGCGCCTCCTGCAGCAACGACACGAACTTGGTGGTGAGCAGCCCCAGGCTCTTCTCGTGCCGGCTGCTGCCCGCCGAGAGCGCCGCGGGCGGCTGCGAGGATGGCGCCCCAGGCGGCGGCGGCGGCGGCTGGGCCTGGGCCTGCGGCGTGGGCTGAGCAGAGCTCGCGGGCTCCGCCGCCGCCATCGCCGCCGCCCGCCCGCCGGGAGCCGCGGGGCCGCAGCGCAGACGAGGGGCGCGGACTCCGCTCCCGGCCCTCGGCGCCCCTCGCGTCCACCAGCCGCCCGGAGCCGCGAAGAAGGCGCGCGGGACCACAGAGCGCGCGGACTCGGGCGAGCGCCGCGAGGGTGGGCCTGAGTTTAAATGGCAGGAAGTGACGCCGCCCGGCGTTGCCTAGAAACGCACTCTCCGCGGAGGGGAGTCCAGCGAGCGGTGCCCTGGACTGTGGTCCCGCCGACTCCCGCGCCCGCAGTCAGGCCTGCGGCTCTCGCGTCCCTGGTGTCTCTTTGGCACCTACATCAGGTGCAAGTGTTGTTAAGGTTCATCTTCGCGGGAATAGGAGAACGCGGCGTCAATCCTCAGTCCTTTGCAAAGCCTGTAGAAGGCGGTAGATTCCCAACTCTTGCCTTACCTGCCTTTAATAGTGTTCTTTACCCAATTATATTGCTTTGTTTCCCAGTAATCGCATTATTTAGGCACTCGCAGCAGCATCGTGTGCTTAGTGATATCCTAAACTATGGATGGTTAGTGAAATCACACAGGAATGACAGGAGGAGATGTGTTCCCACCCTTCATTTTACTTGCAAACTTGAGAATCAGGATAAAAAAATCTTTGACAACTTGGTGTTAGCACACATTGAATAGTGTTCACACTTAACAAATACTAGGTGACTAAAAACATCATTTGGCAGGAAATAATGGAGGACATATCCCACATGAAAGAATGCCTAATTTAACAATAGAGAGAAAAAAAAATCACCAAAATGAGAGGGAAAACTGACAGCATCAACTAGTAAATCCTGGAAACCGTTTCAAACAAAAATGCTGTTTTCCCTTCACAGACGTTAGTTTATTAGCCAATATTTTAGTCCGAAGAACACAACAAAATTTGGGATAAAGAATCTAAAATAAATTGAAAACAGTTAATACAACTGCTTAGGTAATTTCATATTAAGCAAATCAACAAATTTTATGAATTAATATTATAATAGAAAATGTTTTTTGAGATTTTAATTAAGGAACTTGTGTGCTAGGTCAAATTGATGTGAAATAAAATTATTACTATTTCTAAAACAATTTATGTGTTTTAGCTCAGGCTGCCATAATATATCAGAAACTGGTTATTTAAACTACAGAAATTTATATTCTGACAGTTTTGAAGGCTGCAAGTCTAAGAATCAAGGCATAGGAATTGCTAGTTCTAGGCAGGAGCCTCTTCCTAGCTTGTGGATACTGAATTTTTGCACTGCTTTTTGAGCGGCTACTGAACAGCTTTGGATTTCTCTTGCTACAAAGACACTAATGCCACCCTGAAAATCTCACCCTTAGGAAGACTTATTAGTAATGATCTCTTAGTCTCCAAAGAGCATAAGAGGGGAGGGAGTTGGAGCTTAGAGTTTCAAAAGGTTAGTTTTGGGGAAGCCAGCATACAATATTACTATTACCACAACTATCTGGGTAATTTTGTAAACACATTTTAATATATTAGTTTAGATGTTTTAAAAAGACCAATAAGACTATTGACTCTAAATTTTTGATTAATAGTTGTGTTTTTCACAGTGAGATTTTTCATTTGTTTGAATTTGCTGGGATTCAAATATTAAAGTATTAACAAATTAGCAAACATTTCAGTTAGCCATAAAAATATTTTGGTTTTTGTTGCCTGATATTCTAAAATTAAAAAAAAACCAACAACAATTATACTACTGTTTCCCAAATTTCAGAGAGAAAACTGTTATAAATGTAGACCTTTGCCTTTATTTTTTTTGTTGTAAAAACATCTGATAGATGTAAAATTTATACACAATTCAGTCTTTTGATTTGAGTTGTAATATATAAAGCTGTGCAACTGTCATCATCATAATCAAACACAGAGCACTAAATGTCGGTGCTTATGTCCGAGCCCTCAGGAGCACATCCGCAATTGAGGTGAGAACGTGACCTGCAGGGTGGTGCTTTTCAGTCTCAGTCCTCGCGTGCCCAGTCACCCTGCGAACAATGAACAGCACAGTGAAAATAATGATGTTTCTTTTTCCCCAAACATTGCTGAAAAGGAGATTGATGGTGAAAAAGTCTTTTTTATTACTGCTGGATCTTTTTGAAATTTCTGCTCATTAAAAACCAGAGTACAAATAACCTTTAAGATGCTACTGGTCACTTACTGCATACTGTTCACTTAGCAGTTATTAGGTGACCAAGAACATCATGCTTCTTATTTCAGTCTGACTTCAATTTCCATGTCTTTTGACTATAAAAAGACAGTTCTCAAAAAAGGATCAATTACTGCACGTCTGTCTGCCGTTTTGGAGAAAAGCCTCAAAGCTCTTTACCTCAAGTCAGTGTTCAAACCAGGTTGGCAAGCTCTGAGGCAGATTTTGTGTACTTGCTAGTTCAGTGGAAATAACTTGTATTTCACTGTGGAGTAATATTTCCATGCCAGCAATCTTCCGACAAATTTAGGTTAGCCACATAGATTTGTAGGACAGATATTATGGTGTAATGTAATATTATTGAATAAGTTTTAATACATTTTAGAAAATTAACTATCAATTCAGGAATGGACTAAGGGATGAGGGGCAAGTATTTGATGGTGAAAAGAATAATTTATTAGGCCACAGCTTATTGGATTTAAAGTATGTGACATTTATGGAAAACAACATGCTATTTTTCATATATACAGGATAAATTAAAAATATGTGCTATTTTGTTGTAATATAGTAAATATTTAAGAAAACAAAAGTTTTTAAAATCAATGATGGCAGTAAACTGTTTTTCTTTCTTCTTTTGCAGCCCCTGTGAGATAGGGCAGTGCTTTGGATTGAACCCAGGCCCTGTGCATGCTAAATAAGTGCCTCAGCACTGAGTTTTGTCCTCAGATGTAACTGAATGAGTTTTAAATGAATAATCCTACTCAATGGTCATGGATAATTACAACTTTCAATTGTTAGATCTCCTTTGAGCTAACAGTCCATCAAAGCTTCTATATCAGTTGTATTACCTCTTTTTTGTAATTTTCCAAAACCAGATTTGGTTATTTTTCCTTTCAAATGCTTATAACATACAAACATCTACCTTCTGCATTTTCTACAT